TAACTTTTTGACACCTTGATCTCTACCCAGGGGCACTCAACCACTGAGCCACAGACTGGCAGACTGCATGGTAGGGACCACTATAAAAGAAGCAAAGTTGAACGTGCATGTCAGAGCACCCAAACCTCACCATTCCCTATCCACGAAGCTGCTAAGAGTGGAGGAGACATGGACCCTGTTCTCTTTGAACATCCATAGCTCTGCAATGTTCGAATTTTTATAACTTTATAACAGTAATAAAAACACAGTAAACAAATAAAAGAATGCATATATATACCCAAGTCTTAAGATTCTGGCAACAAGTGACCCCACAGAGGAAATAAAATTAGTCTGCAAGCCCTTTTGCCATCCCTACAGCTGACACCTGGCAGGTACTGAGGTGACCAGAATGTGTAAACGGCATCTGTTATGCACGATGTCTCCTGTAGGGGCGCCATCCTTGAAGGACTGGGAGACCCTGGAGGGAAGCAGCCGTGGGCATGTTGTCTTGTGGGGATGCCAGGAGTGTTGTCTTGGCAGAGACTTCAGGAGTGCCTTATCCCAACATTTATACCTACAGAGAACTGTGTGCCTGAGTCTCTTGTGGGGACTTGGCATCTTTTTTTCCCCAACAGCTCACCATAGCTCTCCAGCCCAAACCCAGAGAGCTCTAGAGAGACCTGGCCCTCCTGTCACAGCCATTCACATTGATTATTATAGTTCGTACAGATACTGCTCATGGGATCTCATGTGATCACAGTTGAGTACTGAGTCTGAATCCTGGTCTACTGCTGATTTTACCTTTCAGAGTCCTCATCCTGAAAATGGACAGGAGAAGAACACCTGACTCACCTGGTGTTGTGAGATGAAAATCACACAAGGCACGGGAGGTACTTAACATCTGGGACAGTGGTAAGTACTTAATAAATTCCAGAAATCACAATGCTTTTATGAAGTTAGCAGTTCAGAAAAATGTTACTATTCTTAATTTACAAATAAATAATCTGAGGCTCAGAGTCTGGCTTGCCAACAGTGAAACAAAGATGGGAAGTAGGCCTATGTGACTACTGGGGGTCCTTGGTAGGCCTCCAATGAGTCCAGCGGTCTCCTTAGGTTGGCCCCGCAGGGTGTGAGCCCCAGCTATCCACCTGGAACTGTTAAACTCCACCTGGTCTGCACCCCACTCCACCTATGGCAGCCCAAGCCTGGTGAGGGAGGTGATCCTGACAAAATTGCTTTCTGGAAGGATTCTGCCTCTTTATTTCACAGATGAGGAACCTGAGGTCCAGGGGTGCAAATGGCCTGGCTTCTGTGGGTGTCAGAGTCTGAGGTAAGAGCTGTTTTTTTATTTGTTTGTTTGTTTTTGCGGGAGGTGGGATAGTTGGTACTGGGTATTGAACTCAGGGGCCCTCAACCACTGAGCCACATCCTCAGCCTTTTTTTGTATTTTATTTAGAGACAGGGTCTCACTGAGTTGCTTAGGGCCTCACTAAGGTTCTGAGACTGACTTCTAACTCAC